TAAGTGTCTAAGTGCACAAGTGTTTAAAAGCTGTAAGTGCTTTTAAAGTTAATCTGGAACCCCTTCTTGTGAGTTGCAATCAGTATTAAATCAATGTCTCCTGGAAATGTCCTAGTTCTTTCATATAACTCTTTGCAAAAGAAATAAATGCAGTCTCCAATTTTAAATCCTGACAGTTCCAAAAGTTTGAAGTATTTCCAATTGAAAAAAGTAAGTCAAGTGTTTTCACAAGTTTCTAGAATGATTAACAAAACGTATTTGGTGAGGAAAAGGGTCATAAATAAAAAGCAGATATGGGAACAACAAATAAAAAAGTTGAAAAATGACCCTGTTACTTGGTAATCTTGCTTTGCTAAATAAAACAACAAATTATTGTGTATCTTCTCCCCCACTTCCCGAACCCAACAGCATCAGAGCAGGTGAGCAACTAGGAGGAGCAGGCGCCACACAAAGCCCTTGGCCTAACTGCTTGCTTCTCCTGGAATCGAGCTTCCTCTTTTTGAGTTTTGAAGCTCTCCAGGCTTTATTAAAAAACTGTTTAGAGTGGGTTTTGTTTGTTAAAAGGCCTTGCTTTGTCTATCTGCTGTTGCTTGTGAGCTCTTAGTTTGACCCAGCAGCCTGATTTCTTCAGGATCAGGTTATCTTTGGAGACTAGCTGGCTTTTGTTCAATTTCCTTTGAAAGAGGGGCTATTTCTACTGAAATCAGTTAGCTTCTGGTTGAGTATTAGACCGAACTGTCTCATTTAAAAAGTGCCTTTCAGCCTACATACAGTCACGCTCTCCAGAGAGCAGATTGTTTCCTAGAACTGGCTTTTTAAGCCTTCAGTCTGATCCTTCTGTGATCGGACTGTTCTAGAGCAAGGCTGGCTGATTTCTACTGTGCAGGTTGTTTGAGCTGTTGCAGACTTCTTTGGGCCCCTTGCTCTAGAGAAATGTCTCTGAAAAATGGGATCTCAGTTATTTAATATTTTAAGACTATCCCTCATGCAGGAACTTTAACATTTTTCATGCACATATTTAACTAAATGGACAGATTTGACCAACAGTAATTCAGAAAATCAGTGGCCACTTGTGGGGAACCTCTGAGATACTCAAATTTCATTTTCTTAAAAGCAAATTGGACAATAACAGCACTAAAATTGGCAAAACTGGAAGGAATGCCTATTTTGAATGGTGTTTTGAGACATTCAAATGGTACCAAGAATCTGAAGTTGTCTCTTTGCAAAATAAAGTTTTAGAATTAACAGAGTCTACTGGATTCATCTCCAGGTCCCTATTCTATGAATACTTTGCCACAGGCTTCTTCTCCAGCATCCTCAAGCTCTTTTTCTCCAATTCCTTTGTTTCAAGCTCCACCTCTGATACCACGCTGCCTTCACTACGGCTTCCTCACCCCCAGTTCGCCTCTGATGCCATCTTCCTCTGAATTCTCTCCCCTCCTTCCTCCTCAGCTTCTCAGGACCTGCCAACTTAAAGTTAAGCCCTCTAGGGATCCTAACAAACCTCAAGTTTCATATGTTCCCTGGAGTTAAAAATTTCCTACGGCAACTGAGGATCCTCACAAGTTTGCTGAGGAATGCAACACTGTTATTCAGACCTATCAGCCTGGGTTTTCTGATTTATATCAGCTAATTCATGTTAGTTGGTGAAGGCCAGGCTCAACATTGGATGAGAATTGCCCAATGGGAACACCCTGAAATGGATTTAGAAAAACAAGCCTCTAATTTGGGGGGAAGAAACTAGAGAACTCGCTAGAGAACTCCAAGTAATTCCTAAGGTTTTCCCAAAGGCTGCCGACTATTATAATCAACTAAAGGTCATTTTTAAAGGAAAACTCTGGCCTTCAGATGTTGATTTCACTCTGGTAACCTTGAACTTCATTGTTTGTTAATGAGCTGAAGCAAGATTTTCCCTTTTGGTTAAGAGGACCAGGGATGAGAGATCATGTCCACCCTAGATTTAGTTAATTTGGCTAAATCAGCTTACTCATAGTCTAGATGGGCCACCTAGAAGTAAGAATGCCATGATTTTTAATTTTCAGCCTTGGCAAATGAAAGCCCCAATACAAAACCAAAAGGCTCCAAGTTTCTGCCATTTTTGCAAAGAGCCAGGATTTTGGAAAAGGGACTGTCGCAACTTTAAATACTTCAGGCACCCTGATCCTTGTAATTAGTCTTCTAACCAACCTTCTCAAGGCCCTCCTAATCCTCAATGATGGGGCTCCGAGGAACTACAGGGGCTTTCTCTAATGCTCCCTCTTAATCGGCGTGGATTAGCTTGGAGAAACTTTTCTTCATGTTGATAATGAATCTCTCTCTTATAAAACTTCTGTATGTTTTACTAAAGAATGACAGTCTTGACCCAATTTTATGGGAAGAATGGGAGGACATAGCCATTCTTTAAAGCCTCAAAGAAGAGTTTAACAAACCCACCTGCTCTCGGACATCCCAATGATCAGATCACCTTTTTCCCTTTTGTATATGAAAAGAAAGGGAATGCCCTTGGAATACTCACCCAGAAAACATGGGGAACACCACTGATCCCTAGGATACTGGTCAGCAACTGCACCCCAGATCCTCCCTTGCCTTCGAGTCATTACTACCACTGCCCTCTTGGTTGAGGCCACTGAGGACATTGTTGCAGGATCCCCTCTAACCATCTTTGTACCCCACGCAGTAGAAGCCCTCCTGAATCTTCATCACACCCAGCATCTTTCAGTTCATCGCCTTCTTTCCTATGAAATCCTTCTGTTAACTGCTCCTCACACAACTCTTTCGCATTGTAATAACCTTAATCCAGCCACTCTTCTCCCTTCGGAGACCAATGAAGCCCCTCATGACTGCTTGGCACTGACAGATCACCTCCTGAGTCCTTGTCATGATTTGCAGGAGACTCCTCTGGGTAAAGCTGTTTTCCCATGATTTCCAGATGGTTCATGTTTTAGAAATGGAAATGGAAAGTACTGTGCTGGTTATGCAATTGAAGCAACTGAGGCATTTTAACCTTTGGCTATTTCAGCTCAGCAGGCTGAATTGTATGCTTTCACTCTGGCTTGTGTTTTAGCCAAGGGCCCAACTGCCAGCATTTATACTGAAGTCCATATGCCTTTGGAGTAGCTCATGACTTTGGAATGTTATGGAAACAATGTGGCTTCCTTACTTCCGTGGAAATAAAACTAAAAATGGCCCGTATGCTCAGGAATTATTGGAAGCTATACTTTTACCTGCTGCTTTAGCTATTATTAAAATCCGAGGGCAGCCCTGGCCAGTTTGGCTCAGTGGTTAGAGCGTCAGCCCTCGGACAGAAGGGACCTGGGTCTGACTCCGGCCAAGGGCACGCACCTCGGTTGCAGGCTCTGTTCCCAGCCCTGGCCCGGGCGCGTGCGGGAGGCAACCAATCGATGTGTCTCTCTCACATCGGTGTTTCTCTCTCTCATTCTCTCACTCTCACTCCCGTCCACTCTGTCTGAAAAAGCAATGGAAAAAATATCCTCAGGTGAGGATTAAAAAAGCAAAGAAGATCCCAGGGCACTCTAAACTTGACTCTCTGGAAGCTAAAGGGAAATCGCCTTGCTGACACTTCCACAAGGAATGAAGTCCTTAAAGGAATCAGCAGCAGGCAAACTCCTGTCAAGGTCCAAAGGGATAGTTCCCCAGCTGATAACTTAGAAAAATTGGCTAGAGAAGCCCAACAGTTGGCTTTAGGAAAAAAACCAAAAAAACAAGATTGGAAATCTAACAATTGCTAGTTTGATAAAGGAGAAAGTTCTGGTTCAGACCAAATAACAACCCAGTCCTACCAGAGACTCTGAAGTTTCCACTCCTAACTACTGTACATGCATTAAACTATTGGTCCACTGACAAAATAATAGCATTTATGAATCAATATTGGTGGGGAAATATTAATAAGGCCGTGAAAAATGCCTACTTTACTTGTCCTACCTGTCAAAAGTACAACTCGGGGAAGCCTGCTTGCACTGCCCCTGGACATTTTAAATTGCCTAACAGACCATTTGGGGTGTGCCAAACAGATTTCATACAGCTTCCCCCATCTCATGGATATAAATATGTTTTACTCAGGGTCTATGTTTTCTCACTGGGCTGAAGCTTTCCCTCATAGACAGGTTACTGCCTCCTGGTGGCTAAAGTCCTCTTAGAGATTATCCCTACCTGGGACCTCTTGAACTGTTCCTCTGACCTAAGAACCCATTCTATGGGTCAGGTGCTTTAACAAGTCTGTGCCGGTTGGCCAGTTTTACAACACCCTTAATTATAAGGTTCATGCAGTCTTAAGGTTGCATTTCAAAAACCATTAATAATTACCTTTAAATGGCAAATGAAAGGAAAATTTCATCATCAGGGTGGTGTGTCCGTCTGCACAGACTATAAAAGTCGCATGATCTGCTCAGCTCTCCACACTCCTGTTTTATTCTCCCAGCTGCCTTGCTGTTCTGTTCAGTGACCAGGTAAGTGTGCTTTTAGTCCTACCTGGAGCTCTTTCTGCTTCCTTTCAGAATGGTGTGAAAGATAATAGTCTGGAGAGAAAGTGGGTTTGTGCTATCTAAAGATATTACCAGTAATTAAGAGGCTAGAAGCTGTTGTCAGGTTTCTTCAAGACCCGCAGCCTACAGAGTGCAGACCAGGTACGTAAAAAGTGAAGAATGTCATAATTACTAATTAAAGGTTTGGCTTCAGGGACTATCTCCTAACCGATGTACTCTAAGAACAGACATTTAACATACTGTCTAAGATGATTATTTTTAAAACATGCTCGCAGTCACTGGTACGGTTCCCCCAGTTTCCACTCCCTTCCTTCTCCTCCTTCCCCTCTTTTTCTCCCCCCACCCTGTCCCCAGTCCTTAGCCTTTTCTTTACTGTTCCCCACCTATGCCAAGGAAACAGCCCAACGGCCCTGAACTCCTGCTGGCAATCATCAGTATAAAACTCCACTTCAGCTTTTTGGTAAGCTCATCTCTTTTCCCAATTTACAGGACACCAAAATGAGTGCAAAAATGTCTCCAAAAGAACTGAAGAGCATTTTTGAAAAGTACGCAGCTAAAGAAGGTGATCCAAACCAGCTGTCGAAGGAGGAGCTGAGGCTATTGATTCAGACCGAATTCCCCAATCTGCTAAAAGTGAGTGCACGGCTACAGAGCCCCCCAAAGGGCCTCTGATGACGGGAGAGGTGGGAAGGGGAGAGGAACAGAGCCAGGAAAAGGCTGCACGGTCTTAGATACAGATCAGAGCTCCACCTGGGTCGCAGCAGCCAGGGAACAGGTGTCGCTGGAGGGAGAGCATTTAACGTGTGCTTTCCTCCCCTGGAGGCAGGACACATTTCACATGACAAGCTCCTAGAAAGCAGGGGCCAGCCTCCTCTCCCCCACAGCCTTAGCACAGAACTCTCTGGACCAGCCGTAGGAAATGGAAGGCCTGAGGGCACTTTTACCAGGCTGGGCCTGGAAGGCGCACAGATAGCCATGCGAACACGCGAAGACCTTCAGCCTGGATTCAGCACGTCCGTGCCAGGCTTTAGGAAAACTGAGGCCGGGAAAATTAATATCAGTTGGCCTTGGCCTCGCTGCATCATTCTAGGTGGGATCTCACACCAAGACCAACACTTACTTGGCGGCCTGTTAAGAAAACCCGCTTCCCGCTGACAAATTGCTCTCTGCAGAAACCCATTTCTATTTCAAAAGCATTTAAATGCCTGTTAATTTGTGCCAAGCAATTAAATTTGTGTTACTGAGGCAACCATGCGTTCCTCAACAACCTTCGGGAGAGGATGGAGTTTCTTTAGCCATAAAGAACCATCCCAGAGTTGTCAAAATCAAAACGCACCTAGAAGCAAAAAGGAATGGGGAATGGCGGGTTCTCTGTCTGAGCTCCACTTTCTTCCCTTCGCAACTAAAAGTGCTCTTCAAAAGGGAAGGGATGCAATTGGTACGTCCAACTTGGTCACCTGTTAGCTGTAACTTCAGAAGAAAGCATTTGCTTCCCAGATTTTAACCAGAAATGTCCCTTCTGCCAATATGTCATGTTAAAAGGTTTCTGGTTTAGTTGTTGAGAGGGTTTCTATTGTTGATACTAAAAAGAAAAGCAGCTGAATTCAATAGCCTTATAATCCATTATCTTCTCATTTTCTCACGGTTAAAATCTGTATTTAGTAAGGTCAGGAAGCCCATTTGGTGATTCTGATGCAGGCCAAAGTGTGAGAACCACTGATCCGAAGTCACCTTGCCTAACACAGAGGTGGGCTCAGCCCAGGGTTTGGGGAAAACTAGGGTAGTTGCTAGTTAAGGGTTTGGACTCCAGAGTCAATGTTTGAACTCCAAGTCCTCTATTTACCAGCTGTGGAGTAAGTCAGCCACTGTCTCAGCCCCTCAGTTTCCTCATCAGTTCCCCACCGGGTGGTTGGGGCAACTGAACAAGCTACTGAAAACCTCAGCATAGTGCCAGCCAGCAGCAAGCCATGGGCAATGCCTTCATTACATGCCAGCCCAGCCCTGGAGGTGGGCACAACCCAGCTCCCAGGAAACCTGGGGGCAGGGGTCCTCAACTATCTGTGGGCTGTGGGTCCCTCGGAAGTCCAGTGAAGCCTCGGACTCCATCCCAAAAGAATGGTTTTAGAGGCATAAAAAAAAAAAAAATACTTAAGAATACATAGAAAACCAAGTATATTCAAATACATGTTATCGACATTAAAATAGTAAGTGTATGTTATAGAAATGAAAAGGGTAGCTTGTTCTGTGACATGGAGCAATATTCCAGCTGAAGTTGGGTTTTCTACCTCTATCAGTAGCACGGGATCAAAAGCTCAGCTGCCTTCTGAGAATGCAGACACAGTAACCCTAATTTCAGAGAACGTGTAGCCGCACGTAACTGATTCATTTTCTCTCCTCTCCCCATCCCACCCTCTTTGTCTAACACCAGGGTCCAAACACCCTAGAGGACCTCTTTAAAGAACTGGACCAGAATGGAGACGGAGAAGTTAGTTTCGAGGAGTTCCAGGGGTTACTGAACAAGATATCCCAGTGAAAGAAAAAACAGAATGATACCATTCTGCTCACCAAGAGAAGAGCACCTGGGAAGAGCCATATTCCACATGGAGTCCCCAATGTCTCTGTTAAATTCTTCCCAATCATAATCACTTGGTAGTGATAGACAATTATTGCCAATAAAGAAATTCTTAGACATGCCTCACCGTGTCAATTACTGACCTCCGTAGTTTAATAGATTTGAAAGTAACCTTAGTCTGATGCATCTAATTTTATAGATTTAAAAAAAAAAAAAAATCTCNTACAGCATAGATCTTTTCTTCTCTGGAACTATCTATAATTCTCTGCTGGTTTCAAATAGAAAAAAAAAAAAAAAGGTCCAGAATAGTTCCATGGTCTTGACCAAGACTACAGAGGAGGTGTCAGAGATGTGCAAAGGATTCTGCTGTGCCAAACCAACTCCCTCACTCCACTCTTCCACCAGAATAACCCTGTTCTTGCTCTTCCCTCCCAAATACTTTGTGCTCACATCATTTCCGATTTCAACTCTAGTCAATAGTGAGCAACAGACTTCAGAGAACAGACACTCGTCTTTAAAGTCATCTCCCAGCACACGCTGTGCTTTTTGAATCACTGACCCTCTCAGAGAGTGGAAGGAATGCAGGACCGACTGTCGGTTCTGTTCTGTCACCAAGGGGGTGGCTGACCTTGGTTTTGGTATGTGATGTGTAAAATAAAAGGAACAGGAAGACATAGGCCCTTCCCAGCTCTGGGCATGCTGTGCTCCTGGGACACTGGGTACTGAGAAACAGCTCAGGTTCCTCCTGCTGAGTCACGGGGAGGGGGAG